GGAAGGAAGGAAGGAAGGAAGGAAGGAAGGAAGGAAGGAAGGAAGGACATTTCTTGTTTATTAAGACTTTTCCTAAAATCATCCCAATTGTTGCACAGTTCAATTTTTGGTTACATTTTCTTTGTGTCTTTACGGTTTACAGAACTGGGTTTTCCAGTATCTAAATCAGGAGCGTCCAATTGTGGCAATTTTAAGACCTGTGGACTTCAACTCCTAGGATTCCTCAGCCAGCAATGCTTTTAAATGCTTTTGGATGCTTTTAATATTCCATATTATTGCTGTTATAATATATTCTCTTTTACTCTTGAAAAATTGCTCTTTGCAAAATGTTAATAACGTGTTGATTATTTTGCGATAGTCACCCAATGTTATTTGTAAAAAAAAAAAAAGTGACGCAGGGCACAAACAAGGGTAAAGCAACATTAAAGAAACAGCTGTGTTTAGGTGTGTGAGAGGAAAGAACCCCGAAATCACGTGTGGAGAAGAGCATAACTACCGCCACAATAAAACAAAATAAAGAATTTTGCATGTATTCTCGCAATTGCATCATTCCTGGGGTTGAAAAGCAATCAACCTATAAAATATTAGTCTTTTGAAATAAGCATTAAAATTACACATTGGACAACTCCAAGCTTCCATCGATCTGTGTGTTTGTGTCACCTCCGATCATGAGGTAACATAACGAACAGTTCAATACAAATAATCCTTGACTTAATGACCAGTTTCTGTTGCTAACCGAGACAGTTATTAAGTGGACTTTGCCACATTTTACATTTCTTGCCACAGTTAAGTGAATCACTGCAGTTCTTAAGTTAGCTGTCAACTCATAAAACATTTTGTATACACGTTTTATAGTTGTCAACAGAAAGAAGAGGGGGGAGTTTCAAAGAGGAGGCAGCAGTGTGGAATCGAAAGTACGTTCCATTCATATTTTCTTCAAAGACTGATTAGATGGCTGAAGCTTCTGCTGTGCAAAAATCTAATTGGAGAGCATGATTGATGACTCTTGGCTATGGACGCTTTTCATTGGATGATACCCCCAGAGGGGTGGGGTGGGGAAAGCAGGATCAAGGGTGACAGTGAATTATGTATCTCAGAGTTGGCTATGCCCAGGTAAATGCCAGATGTAGAATGTTACCTTCAAATAAAATCTTTTTCAGTTTTCCGAGTGTGGCTCGAAGCTCATGATTTAATTGGAGTAAGTGCCGGAATCCTGACATTAGTAATACGGTTGTTAAGTGAGTCTGGCTTCCACATAGACTTTGTTAGAAGCTCGCAAAAGGAGATCACGTAACTCTGAGACATTGCAGCCATATGAGTCAGTTGCCAAGCCTCTGAATTTTGGTCATGTTCAGGATGCTGCAATGGTCTACGGGTGAAAAACAGTCATGCCACTTTTGTCAGGATTCCAGTGATCGCCCTAATGAAATCATGAGCCTTGAGCCAAACTTCAAAGAGTTCATTAGAATGCGACATACTGGCACGACCTGTATGAAGCCGATTCTGGCATATGTAATTATAGTCACCTCTGATCCAGCTTCCCCCCTTCCCCCCTTGGTGTGCCATAAATCAGTTTCTCCAATTAAGCACGCACACGGGCTAGGTGTCATCCAACATATTCTCCAATTAAAGTTTTTCCCAGGCAAAACCTTCAGTAGCTTAGCTACAATTTTTTAAAAAAATTTTTAAAAGCTTTTATTGAAATTAAAATATTAAAATAAAAACCTATCTATAAAAAGAAAATAAGTTGGTACAATGATACTTTAACAAAATCTGCCGCATACAAAGAAAACCAATACAAGATGTTTCACCACTGGCATTTAGCCCCAACAAGGCTTGCAAAGATGTATCCCAAACTAACTGTTGGAAACAAATGCAAGGTACTTTTTTCCATGTCTGGTGGCTATTCCCGGAAATTAAAAAACACTGGATCAAAATACGTACAAAAATGGTTAAACGAAATCACCCACTGTCGAACAGAGTTGAATTGTTTCTTCTAGGGATTATTAAGAGTAAACATCCCCAAAAGATTAAATATTTGACTATACATATTATTACGGCAGCAAAAATTACACTAGCACAAGCCTGGAAAATGTCTCATATACAGTCAGATTGTTTAATAATTTTAAAATTTTTTGAATGTGCAGAAATGGATAGACTCACCATAGATCTGAATAACAAGGAGGACTCGGAGTATTATGCAACTTGGAAACAATTGGTATCAATGGATAGACAGTAGAAATATGAAAGGTATAGGTTAAAAATAAGTTAAAAATTTTTTTTCTTTTCTCTCGTGTTGTATTTGTATATGATTAATGAGAACCTGTTGAAATGGATGAACATTTGGAATGTATGAATATAGCCAAGATTTATTTTTGTACTGTCTGAGAACGATGGTGAATTGTAGCTACAATCTTTTTTAAGATAACGTTGGAATATGCTTCTAAGTTCATTTGCTGTAGGAATGTTTTACACATTGACAACTTCTTTTAGTGCTGTTGTTAACTATGACAGTCACTAAACGAACTGTTATAAGTCAAGGACCACCTGTAGAAAAGTTTAAAAAAAAAACTGAACCGTTCTTTTTTAGCATACACTTAGGAAAACAAAAACCAAAAATGGGAAAAGAGATGACAGCCCCTCTACCTTACCTGTGCTCGGATCAGAGATTCAAAACTGGGCTTGAAATAATCGATGCGGCTGCTATAAAACTTGGGCATCTCTTCCAGAAGTTGCTTGTTCTTGGCCTCAAAATCATCCTTCACTGGCCTCAGTTCTTCTCGGGCCTGGAGTGTGTGTGAAGAGGAGGAGGAGAAGATCTCAAAATGTTGTCCTCCTGGGCTAGGTCCTTCTGTGCTGGGCATAAATTGATCCCCATCTATACCTCGCCAAACTCAATTTCATTGAGGGCTGTATCAGGGACTGTGATTGACCTTGGGGGAGGGGGTGCAGACAGGCATGGCTGACTGAGTGGGGGCGTGGCCAACTGGGGAGGCATGGCCATCTTGACCACCACTCCCCAAACTGCTGGCATGTTTCTTCTTTGCATTGGGTAGACCGGGCTGAAGCTATGCTGGCTCAATCTTTTCACAACTTATCCAGCCCGCGGGCCTTGAGTTTGACACCCCTGATCTGGAATGACTCTCAGAGACCCAAAGCACCTATCTCTGACCTGTTGTCCACCAGACAGGTCTGTGATGGCGAACCTATGGCATGGGTGCCGCAGGTGGCACGCGGAGCCATTTGTATGGGTATGTGCGCCCCAGCCAAACTAACCTGCACTGTGCCTGTGCACGCCTCCCAGCTGATTTTCGGCCCGTTTGAGGCCTTTTTCACCCTCCTCTGAGCGCGAGGGAAGCCTCTGCAGCCTTTGGAGGCCGAAAAACGGGGCCATTTTCAGCACTTCTGATATTTCTGGAAATACCAGAAGTGTTGAAACGGGTCCATTTTTCGGCCTCCAAAGGCTGCAGAGGCTTCCCTCGAGCCCATGGAAGGGCGAAAACGGCCTTCCTCTGGCTCCAGAGACCCTCCAGAGATTGAAAACAGACACTTCCGGTATTTCAGGAAGGCCGTTTTTCAGCCTCCTGAGGCTTCAGAGGTTTCCCTCGAGCCTCCGGGAGGGTGAAAAAGGCCTCAAACAGGCCAAAAATTAGCGGGGAGGCAGGCACAGGCACAATGCAGGTCAGGGGGCGGGGTGGTGGTGGTGTTGCGCGCGCATGAGCAGGTGGGGCAGGGTGCATTGCATTGTGGGTGCTGGCGCACAAGCATTCAGCACACCACAACAAAAAGGCTCACCATCACTGAGATAGGTATTCCCAGCTGGTAGACCTCCGAAGGACTTTAATTCTGCCTCACACAAGCGTTTAGTACCAATATCGAACTACTGAGGAAATAATCCGAAGTATTATGCTACTGCAGTGTGACTGTTGTGCAGATGACAAGATAGTCCTAAAGTTTCCATCTAAATTCTGATGAATGCTGTAGAGTTTCCCAACCTTACTGGATTGGCGGCCTGGAGTGGTGGTCGGTGGGGGGTGAAGAAAGGGTGATTTTGTGGGAGGGGCAGGTGTGCGCAAGCTCCGTTCTCCTGTGCAGGGCAACCAAAGGAGACTCAGCCAATCAGCCTGGACTTGGGAGGCAGAGAAGAGATGGGGGCGGGGCCAGTCAGAGGCGGTATATGCCGGTTTTCCAAACTCCTCAACATTTCTGCTACAGGTTCTCCAGAACTGGTCAGAACCTGCTGAATACCACCTCTGTCGCAAGCTCTGTGAATGCTCTTTAATACCTGGTGTAATTTGGTCAAGATGGGGCCTGTCTTCTCTTTTTCTTCATACTTCTCCACCTTGGATTGCAGCCGTTTGTAATCTTGCAGGACTTGTTCGCGACGCTTTACCGCCATATTTAGACTGGGGAAGACACCGCTGAATCTGTGGGGATTTTTAAAAAACAATTTTGATATTCTCTATCTTGTACAGTATTTAGGTTAATTCTTCACTGAGAACTTTTTTTTTCTTGAGGAACAAAAGCTGGATGCAAATTATTATTATTGTTGTTGTCATTGTTATTTTACTACGGAGAAATAAGCTTTTCCTCTTATTCTTTCTCTCCTAGGATCTCAGACACTGGGAGTAATCTATGCTCTTCACTCTGTTGGAAGTTACAACCTACCCCACTCCTAGGAAAATGAAATATTTTAGAATATATTTAAAAAGGCAGAATATTTTCCCCAAAAGAGAAGTAGAAACTCAGAAGCAGAAACTCACCTCAGAAGCAGAAGCTCCCCCCGCCTTTGTTAATGGGTACGCCATTAAGGCCTGGCCCAGAGTATTCTACATAACAAAGCCCTCTACCCATCTTACCACATGGCCTGGGGCGATTCAGGTGAAGCCATGTGGTCCAGACAAAGCCTACAAAGTTAGCGAAGACCCCCATCCCTATGAGTCTGACAGCCAATGGGATACATTTCTTGCACAGGAACAAGAAACACTAAGGTGTGGCCCAACAGAGGGAATAAAACTTAAAGGTCTCTCATTATCCCTCCTTTTCCTTCACCCAACACTGAAGTATGTGATTGTCCTTTTCACCCAGGGGCTCCAAGCCATGTGGTCCTGTCCACCATTAAACCATCTTTCCAAACAGCCTCCATCTTTTCAAGTGTGTTTCTTCCCCACTTGGAACTGAACCCAGAAGGACATTTCTTCCAACAACTCTTACGCATAAAACCACCTAGTTGAGATACTAGTTGGCTCAAGCTGACTTACAGGAAACCTGGATGCCAATCGGGGGTTTTAAGCCATATGTTTCCAGCGTGATCCAGAGCTTTGTTGAATACTCTCTATACAGTGTGTGTTGCTTCTCAAGATAAACGAAAGAACCACAGCGTGGATATTTATCTGGCACTGAAAAATTTCCTGCCACTGTGAAGCTTCGCCATCGACGTTTTCCCAAATCGCGTGGCGGTTTCCCACAAGCAGGCACATCTCAATCGCGCCCGTTTTGACAAGTCGGTTCAGGAAACGGTGGCGCTCTGCTCCAGCCACAAAATCAAATCAAGGGCTATTTCAGAATGCCTTTTTGTTTTGGTGTTGAATATCCTCCAATCCCATCAATTACCATCAAAGGCACATGTTTTTCCTTTCTGCAACCGTTTCTTTTACAACACATGTTATAAAGCAAAAAGGCAAGATAACATACAAGCCGCAAAGAATGTCATTTTAAATAGGTTAGGAGCCTTAAAAAGAAAAGAAAAGAAAAGAAAACCAGCCAGGGTGTGAACGAAGCAGTCTTGTCCCTAAAAAAGCAGAGCAGATCGTAAATATTAATCTTGCCTCATTCAGGGATGGGGCCTTCATTGTTTGTTCAGGGAGGGACGCTCAACCCTGACACAATGAGCTATTAAGCACTTCAGCCCATTAACTGCAACAGGAGCTAGATTAATAATCCTTGCATAATTCTGGAATGGATCCCCGCTGGATGCAGAGGTGGCAAGAGAAGTACAAATAAGTTATGGCTGTTGAAACCTCCAAAAAAAAAGAAAAAAAAAGGATCTCAGTCAACTTTTCTCAACTTCAAATCTTTCCAACTACGGTTTCCATTAACGCACTGAGCATGGCCATAAGTTTAGTTTCGTTTACTTTATTGTCACTGCACCTTGTACAACGAAATTAAAAGCCACCTTCAGTATACATTATGATTATGAAAATAAACACAAACACACATCCTTCACATTCTATACATTGAATTGAAAACCCCCAATATAGAGTAGAGTAGAGTAGAGTAGAGTAGAGTAGAGTAGAGTAGAGTAGAGTAGAGTAGAGTAGAG